CGGGAGCCGCCCGCCCACATCCGCCTCCGCCGACCCCGCCGGCCGCCCCACCGCGGCGGGCCGAGGAAGCGGCCCTTCGACGCGCGCTGCGGAGCAGGCCCCTCCAGCGCGGCTTCTCGGACCTCAGTTTCCCTGTTTGCAAACTACACCCTCACTTCCCGGCCCAGTTATGCCAGGGACCTGCTTGAACGGGTGGGGAGGGCGGTTCGGGGAAGAATCCTAGGACTCTGCCTTGGTGGGGGCGTCGGGCCCAGCCCTCCCTGGAGGGTGTGTGTGTGTGTGTGTGTGTGTAATGTCCAGAATGGCCCCCTCCCTGAAGCCCAGTCCCACGGGAAGGGGCCCCTAGGAAGTTCCGTTTGAAGAGGCCTTGGTTGAGTTTTGGGGAGATGCTGATGCCCCTGTGTGTTGATGGCCCTACAAGGGGCCGCCAGCAGTCCGCTTCGTAGGAAGAGAGAGATACAGGGGGCGCAAGGGGACCTTGAAAAAGGGCGTCCCAGAGTTCCGGAGGAGGACAGCCACCAGCACCACCCAGCATCTGGGCGGCATTCCACATACTGTGTATTGGACAGGTCCTGAACTGAGGGGACACACACCCTGAGGAACAGGGGATCTTTTGGAGTTGGGGAGCAGACACAAAAGAAGACCCTTCTGGACATGGAAGGGGGCTCCAAGTAGTGTCCTGTGCCATGGGACCCAAGGCCCCTCCCCTGTAGACTGGTCATCTGGATGACTCAGCCAACACCCTTCCCTGGACCATGACCTCCCGTGAGGGCCAGGGGGTTCTCCAGATGACCCAGCACCCCAGGCCTCCAGTTGATAAAGATCATTGTGGAAGCCTTTGGGGAGCCCCCTGGGCTGCTAAAGATTTGGATGAATATTTTGTGCTTCTCCCACTATCAGACTGGACTGGAGGGGTGTGGGCACTCAATCAGACCAAAGTCTCAGGTGCAGCCAGCTGAGGGCCATGCCACGATAGGGGTTCATCCTTGCCCCTCAGGGCTGGCCAAGGGGCTCCCGGTTCCCAGTCTCTGCCCTCAGTACTTCTGACACTGCTCATATAGAACAGCTGTCCCAGCTGGGATCACAGACGCGGCCGAGGCCCTGCCTTGAAGGGCTCAAACTGAGGTCTCGCATCTGGACCAGACACTGGCCAGCTGGATGATGCCTCGGAGGTGGGGCATCTCATGTCCATCCATCACCTACCACTGACTCAGTAAACCATCAGTAGCCCCCTCTGGTCACTGCTCCCACCTCAGGGGAGGCCTCCTGCTCGCTCTACCACCAATTGTTCCAGAGCTCAACTGAGGTGGAGGAGGGGACAGGCTAGTAAGCTCTGCAGGGGGAGAGAAGGCGCCCTCTTGTGGAAGACAGATAATTCCTCTCGTCCTAGGCCCATGGGGAGAACAGCTTCATCACGGGGGTCCACCATCTCCCAGTCACTGGCTGGTCTCCAGGACACCCCTGCCCGCTCCAGCCCTGAGCTCTTGCACCCACTGATGGCCCATTGTGAGCCCCATCTTGCTGGGAGCATGGATCAGTCCCATGTTCCCCCACGAGCAAGCAGGCAGGTCAGGGTCCCAACCCTCTTCCCAATTTCAAAGGGCAGGTCCATCTCTGTGTGCCCCATTGGCCGCTGCTAGGTCACTCAGCACATTCCAACAATAAATGCATCACCCCGGAGGGAGGGCGTGCCACCTGCACCCTCCCAGAGCAAGGCCTCCTGCCCTGTCACCTCTGCAGCTGCCGTCAGCACAGGGACCGAGAGGTGCAGGCGGCCAGGCTGCTGCTGGCTCGGTGGCAGCTGCAGGGCGGGGCCTCTGGGCAGCCCCCAAGCCAGATGGTGGCCTGGTGCTCACGTCTGGGGAGGCTCTGCTGATGGGCTTGAGACAGCCTCCTGCCATGCCTGGACCTTACTGGCCACTGAGAGGATTAGAGGTCCGAGGCCAGCTGGCCCCTGATAGCCACGGGCTTCCTGGTGGTGGCCCTGGACTCCTTTGACAGCCTCTCCCCCACAGAGAAAGACTTAAACTTAGATGTTTGGCACAGGACGTCTCTCTCATTGTTCCTCGTCAGTGAAGTCCCTGCCTCCTCCAGCTCAGTCCCAGATTCCTGCATGCGGCACCCCCACCTACCTCAGTCCCCTGCACCCCACAACCTGTCAGGTAACAAAGGAGCTTCTGGTCTGGCTCTGCTCGCCCTCTCCCCATCCCAGCAGGGTGGCCTCCCCTGCTCCACGACGTAGTTGAGGGTGGCCATGAGAGATTCAGCAGTGAACAGTCCTTTTTCCTGAGGAGGGGGCAGGGGACCGGCAGTTCTGTGACCGGCAGGAGGTGACATGGGGCAGAGACAAATGAGGTGCCAGGAGGGATACCTGGGGATGACCCTTGCAGAAGATCCTGCTACCTGCCACACCAGCATTTAATCTGCACAAAGACCCCCTGGAGCACTCATTCCCAATTTGCAGATTCAAAGAGTTGAGGAGCGGGTCTCAGGCAGGGGCCCATCCCATTCTGAACCTGACTTTGAATGTGGCACTGTGGGTTAATGCGCTGGACTGCAAAGGCAACCGGTTTCAACTGCAAGGTCTGTGATTCACGCTCACCAGGCGCTCCTCAGAAACCCTAAACAGCTTCGCTATGGGTCAGCACTTAACATTCTTGCTGAAGGATGGGGGGAGGGGGAGGGAGGTGGGCTGGCCCCCCCACAGGGAGGTTTCCCCCTAGTGAATGGGTGATGAGGCCTGTGCTCTGCTGTCCCTATGCCAACTCGAACTTACAGTTACCAGGTTCCGCAAATGAAAACACAGGACGCCCGGTCGGATCTTTGTACTGTGTATTTATGCTTTTCTTCCATATAGACGGTATTCCAATTGCAGCGGGGGCTGTTACAAGCTTCTTCCAGCCGTCAAACAGACCCCTCGTGCCTGGCCTCCTGGTTCATCCCGAACTTCCTCTCCCCACATCCACGCAGGGGCATATTCTAACCAGCCTCAGCGGGGGGGGTGCCCTGCCCCCACTGGAATCTTCTGGGCTTGGTGAAGTATAAGGCGGAAGCTGTCCCGCCAGTTGCATGGTCCTGAACCAAAATACCAAAATGGGAAAAGCATCTGACCTACAGGGGGGTTTTGAGGATGATGTGAGTGGGGACAGACGACAGTCTTGGTCAAGGGCAGCCCTGGTCACACCTTAGCCGAGGTACCCAACCTCTCCGACGCGCAGCACGCTTTCTTTTTCCCACCAAGCCAGGTAACTGCTCACACCTCCAACCCCTAGGATACCAACTTCCTCCCGATGTGGTCTTCCACCGACCCCTCCGCCTACTTTCCTGTCTGCCCTGGGCTTCCAAGGCGTTAGAGTCCCCCTCCGTCCCCCCATCCGCTGGGAGTATCCGATCCCCCTTGTCTCGGGACACCCAGTACGGTCAGCCTGGCACCAGCAGCAAATGCTTACTAGGACCTCTGTGTGTGTGTGTGTGTGTGTATGAGGGGAGGTGTCTATTGGGGGCCATGATCGAGACGCCGCGTGCATGGGCGAGTGCCCCGGCTAATTTAGGTTAAAGTCACAGGGTGTCCCACGATGGATGGAGGGGGTCACCACGGCACAACTGACGAGCCCTGCTCCCCTCCACAGTCCTCTCCCTAGCCCAGGGCCGTCGCCCAGCGTGCTACCAGGAAGACGGGGACCGGACTGCGTCCTCGGGGGACTGTTCTAG